AGTTTCGGCAGAGTTTCAGCAGTTTCGGCATTTATAATAAGTTTCAGCAGTTTCGCCTTTCTCCAAAGTTTCGCCAGTTTTTTAATATAACTTTAATATAGTTTCGGCAGAATTTCGCTTTTCGGCGAAACGCCATCTTGCCTAAACCCCTAGGTTTCGGCAAGCAACCTTAGTCCCTCCATATCTCGACTTTTGGTATGAGACTTCCAAATATTGCTCGGGTTGCAGTTTTTACTGAGCTTGTTCGTAAGAAACTTCCGACAGCTCTACAAGGAAATAGTATTATTGATAATATCGCAAATAAAAGGTCTTTCTCCTTACGGATGCTTGGATCCTCCAAGTTTGACTAAAAGACTGGAGAACATGTTCGTGTAAAAAAACCAGTTCATCCAAAAGATGGAACTCTCTTTGACTTCATGATTCGCCCGCCTAATGATGAATCAGAAGTCGTTAAAAGTTCTCTTTTAGATATTCCGAAAGCAGAAATGGAGGGATGTCCTAGCATAAATAATGTCACCACTGATGCTGAATTCGAACTAGTAGAGACATTACTTCAAGAAGCTAGCATCGAAGGGTATAATCTCTCATATCCATTCGATAATTTTCCTGACAAGTTTCCACTATCACGCATCTCTCCATCACACTGCCCATTATGTGATCGGGAACATACCAGTGATAATGCATATATCAGACGAAATAAAAGATCTTATAGCTTTTTCTGTTACCGTGCCAATCAAGATAAACAGCTTGGGACGAGAAATCCTTCATTAAAACTTACTATTAGCGAAACAGCTTTAGATAAAGAGAAAAAGCTTCCAAACCCTATAAAATTAGACCGACCCAGAATTTCTGACCCAAATGACCGTTTCGTATGGGGCGATCTAATAGATATGTGTGTATCTGGACGGAAATTTTCTCGTAATGAGATTTATGACGCAATTCAGGCAACAGTCGCCTGTATTCAAACAACATCAAGATTATGGGTGCTCAAAATAGAGGATACGAATGGTGGTCTTTATTTTGATATGGCACCAAAACTAGATCTTGCCAAGTATGAAGTTAACTTGATTGAGCTAGGTGGGGAGGGAGTGAAGTTAATTAATTTAATAGATCAGGCGGTTACCAAAGGTCTAATCCTTTACCGCAATATTAATTTTCTTCCATATTCGCTAAACACTCTAGCTCATGATACAAAGTTCTTTAATCTTTTCATAGGATTTTTGGCTAAGCCAGCGTCAGAAATCAATAAAGAAATCATGAATCCGATTCTCTGGCATGTAAAGAACGTAATCTGTAGTGGGGATGAAAGACTTGACGAATATATCTGGAACTGGTGGGCGTATTTAGTACAGAAACCAGAGATGAAGCCCCGGACAATCTTGGTACTAAAATCTACATTACAACAGTGCGGGAAAAATATTATTACTGACTTTATTGGTGATAAAGTCTTGGGGTCACACCTCCATTTTGCAACTTCAGATTTGGAAAAAATTCTCGGGTGTTTTAATAGTGCCATTCAAGCTCGAAAGCTTATTGTTATGAATGAGACTGGAATGTCTAGTGGGGAATGGCATAGATTTAACGGGCATCTCAAATCACTCATAACAGAACGAATGGTAGCTATAGAGCGTAAGGGTCTTGAAACTATACGAATAAATGATTATGCTGGGTATATGGTTACAAGCAATCAGGATGCTCCGCTCAAAATAGATATAGGTGATTCTCGTATAGTCTGTTTTGATGTCTCTGCATGCTGTAGAGGTAATATACCATATTTCGACCGGCTAGGAGATATTCTAGACCATCCTGATGCACCTGGAGTAGTCATGTCATACCTCCTTAGCCGTGATTTATCAAATTGGAGTCCAGGAAAAATTCCTTCTACAAAAATGAAAGTAGATACAATGCGTGATCAGCTTTCTAGTCCCATTCGATTTATAATTGACTATATTACATCTAGGGCTGAGGCTGGGACATCTACGCAAAGTCGTACATCATTATATCAAAAGTATCTTGAATGGTGTGTAGAGAATGGTGAAAAACTATTGACTAGTAAAGTTGCTGGAAAAAAGTTTTCTGAAATTGGTATTGAAAGCAAACAAGTGCGGACAGGTGGTGGGAAAAGAGAATGGCAATATATACTTGACCGCTCCAAGATCATAGCTAAGCTCCGTGAATCTGGCCTAGGTGATATGGAAGAATTTTCCGATATACCTCAAGACGACTTGCCCGAAAATGAGACTACAGACATACCCATATTCAATATGCCAGAAATTATTCCTCCAAAAATAATCCCACCTCAACCAGAGCGCCAAGCCGATAGAAAGAATACGCCTTTACCTAATATCAGTTAAAATAAGAAAGCAGATAAACAGGACGATTTGACCCAAGCCCTTTTCGACTATGTGGCAGAAAATACACGTGCTCCAGTCGCCTCAACATCTGGAACATCTGAGACTAGCAAGCTTTCCGAATCTATCGAGCCTATCAATGAAGTAGTGAATTTGCCTCCTAAAGAGACCCCAACCGATTCTTCTAAGCCTATCAATGAAGTATCGTCTGCCATACTTCTGGCCAGAGCTCAGCGAGATGAGCGTCTCAGAAAAAGGGCAGTCGAACTCGGTGAGAATCCAGATGCCTTCGTGACCATCACCGAAAAAGACCGACTCGATTCCATTACATTCCGTGATAGGATGGAAACTGATTCACGAATATGTGGTTGGGCTATAGAGACCAAAGAAGATCCCAAAGAATATATGGACATGAAAGTACTGGAAAGATTAATAGGAGAAGAAATAATCCGCCGTTCTCTCGAGGAAGATGGGATCACATCCTCCTTGCTTGATACTGATGAGGAATGGAAAAAAACGGTAAGCACACTCCAAGAGAATGGTATGCTTTGGTAAAGAGCGAATAAAAAGCCAGCCCTCTCGATAGTGGATCGATTTTCTTGGTTAAAGTATATCTTATGTTTTTTCGAAGTAACACGAAGAACAATTATTTATTTTTTCCAATTGAACTTTCTCCGCATAGTATATACCAAACAACCTAGGTATAACCAAATATCCTACCCTACATATTACCAAATAATAACATGGCTGGCATCGCTACTAGATATGTAACAGAAAACGAGCTCAATACCGAGATGAGTATCGAAGAGCTTAGTAACCATGCTCCGGCATTGGATATCCTTTTGACGGATAAAGTTAAGAGGGATCAGGCACGACGACGTCTCCAAAAGGGATATAACTTTAGCAAAGAACAGGTATTTGCATTAATTCCTAAGCTAACAGCTGGTCGGAAAAAAGGAGGAGCCTTACCCAATGTTCCTGATACTCCCGATATCACCCAAGAAGCAGAACCGGACACAGTGAATACATGTCAAATTTTACCGAAAGAGACTATTAGAGATTTGGCCCAGCGTATCATTCGGGATAATCTTGGTGAAGCAGAAGTAAAATTTATAGCAAAAGCCTTAGCTGAATCTGCCTCCAATGCTAGCGCTGGTTTATCACGAATCTCTAGGCTTCGAAGAGAATTGCGAAACCTCAAAGCCTCAGAAAAAATTATCTCGGCTACATTGATTCCAGACATAACCCGCTCAGCTAATAAAATCCAAAAGGAGCGTAGTAAACAATGTGAAGATGAAGGGATCGATTATCTGGACCACTTCTCGTTAGAATCTGTTAAGGAGAGATTGGATATGTATGATGTATCCAAAGCCCCTGGCTTACAAGCCCTTGCTGATGTAACGATAATGCTCTTCATCCGTCCTGCTGAAATAAAAACCTTGCGTATATCCCGCTCTTCTGGAGCCTCTAATGGAGGTGTAACTGGATATGCAAAAAACCGGGGACAACAAGACATTCCTCGAGTATTTAGATCACTAGAAAAGAACGAGGAGCGGGCTAGTCAATTGCTTACGTGGATTCAGGAAGCAATTTCTTCTGGTCAGTTACGAGATCCTGGAAAGCCCGGAGTGTTATGGTTTAATATATTTCTGAAAAAAGATGAGTTCCTTACTGAGACCGGCAAACCACTACTTCCTAGTTCTTTGCGTAAATTAGGGGCGGTATTTGCAGTTGTGGCACACGGAGCGAAGAATTTATCAGAGGCTATGACTATTGCCAGTCAAGCACTTCGCCACAGTCCCGACAACCATGCCTCTCCTGCAAAAAACTATACCATAGTCAATTTCAGAAGAAGGGGACAACCTTATGATCAGGCAAAGGCAATCAAGATCTTTGATGAAAACTAATCACATATATGGGTTAGAGGATCGGGATATCATTATTAATTTTATTTTTTCGCTCGAGGCAAGATCTAGCATATAGAATATATTACGCCATTTATTGCGAAGCGCCTTTACGGCTAATTTTATTTTTTCGCTCTCCTAAGATCTAGCATATAGAATATATCATGAAAATGGTAGCCGATCAAAATCATTCATCTGATAGTACGCCCACCGAGCAGGAAGTTATCAGGCGTACAGAGAAAATAGCCAAGTTATTAGGAACAGATAAGCAGAATGCGGAGGTATATATTACGCTTTCTGACGAAAATAGGGTGCTAAAGAAACAGTTGGAAGAATATCATTCCCAACATAACACTTTAGAAAGGAGGGTAAAAAGGTTAGAAAGGGATGTAAAATATCTGGACGAATGTGTAGATAGGGGAGATGTGGTCGACTTAATTCATGAAATAGTTCCCTCGCTAATTAGTAAAAAAGGGCCGAAAGGTGATGTGCATAAGGATTCCTACTATTCGTCTGAGTCTTCCGAAGATTCCGATTCGGTTGAGATAATTGAGGTAAGAGAAAAAAAAGGCTGTCCCTCATAATCAACGAAGAAGGGCGCGACCAAAGAAAGTTAAGACCCTTCGATCAGGATGAAAGCTTTCCAATATTGTATTTCACGCTAATAGTAAAGTAATATATTTAATGTGGAAAATTTTACCGAAGGTGCCTATGGCCGAGTCCGGAATACTGATCGTCAACCCGGGATAGTGATCATTTCGCTCGAAAGAAGAATTTGCTGGGCCACTCCTGTGCGACAGAAAAATAAGTGGATCAGCGGTCAGCCATCCATGTGCAACATAATTTTCGCATATACTGAAAAGAAGCTATGCACGCTACCAGTACTTTGCGAAGCGCCTGCGAAGCGCCTCAATGGCTAATGGCTATTTTTTATTAAGTATAATTGCTCTATTAGCAAAATGTCAGATGACGCAGATGAAGGCTACAATGAATTTATCAAAGAATATGGATCGAGGTATGAATGGGATAATGAAGGTAATCCTGAATTTATACCAGAGTGGCAAGACTGGGAAGATCTATTTTGCGAAATCAAAATTTATTGGAAGACAAAGACAGTCAGGCATTGGGGGGAGAAAATACTTAAACGATTTGTATATAGTCTGCCTGGTGTAAGAAATCCAACATCAATACTCCATACATTTACACAATCTGATGCTTTTTATCTTCCGCAAATTTTGAGCCTAATAGAATTGCCATATAGTGCTGAGGAACTTCGAGAGGAAATATGGCCGGATGGTATTGATAAAAATGAGATTAAGGTAGATGATGCAGATGAAGTAGATAAGTTCCGGTATGGGTTATTGCTTCAAGGTGAAGACTCAATAGTGGATTATTACTCGAAGATAAAGAGATGTAATGATGTTATCAAGCTCTGTAAAAATCATCTTAGAGAAATATTCCATAAAGGATTGTCATCAGAAAGTCAAAGGTATATCGAAAGATTTGGATGTTATTATGATCACGATCTTGATCCTGATAAAATGGTAGAAATGCTTATTCAAGCTGAAAAGGAAAATGTGCCTGATTTTATTACTGCATTTAGTGATTGTCTTAGACAGGTTAGCAATGTACAGATTTCGACCCAATCTGGGTTCTCTAATAATAATTTTATTTCTGCTTTTCTTAATCTGGAATTAACAAGACCCTCTATGGCGGGGTGGTACACTACCAATCTAGCTAGTCCGGAGCGGTGATCTTCAGCTCGGAAGAATTTGCTGGGCCACTCCTGTGCGACAGAAAAATAAGTGGATCACCAGACAGGTCTTGTGCGACATAATATTTTTTGCATATATATCGAAAAAACATATTAACCTTTATTCTTTATTTTTTCCTGAACAATCATGAGAAAAATGGCCTGCTTCACAGGCGCTTCGCTTGAAAGGAGGTCTACATGCAACACAGGACCAACTCTAAAAGTAAATAGTGATGATAAAAGCATATGTTATGAAAGGCTGAGGGACACGCAATTCCGAGATCGCCAGGCGTAAAACCAAGTTTGTGTCTTCCGGTAGATCTTCATGTGAAAAGGTATGAAGATTCCATTTACATGTGCCTTCATAGAACTCTTGGCATCATACGACAATGCTAATCACTATTCTTATCTCCTTAACTTCGGCTTGGCGCTCTTTTTCCAGCAAGATATAAAGCATGTAGGAAGGAGTATGTGGAAGTTCAGCCAACTTTCCGCAAAAAAATTTAAGGTGCGTATGTGATAGAAGTTATGTATGGGAGCGAAGTGCGACATAAAAAATACTCACTATTGGCTCTTAAATTTAGGAAATTCGCTACACAATGACCGATAACAATGATAGGGATGGTATTGATATCACTCTCAATTGTCTTATCGTTCCCATAGGGAACCTCTTCGATCTTCCAAGCAACCAAGTAGCTCAAGAAATTACAATCAACACAGGTCGAACGGTTGGCGGACTTGAAATTGCAATTCGTAACCGGTTAAACCAGTTAGGCCTGTTGGGGGTACAATTTTCTAATCTTTCTCTAAGAATTCGTCAGATCCATCCCGGAACAGTTAGCGAAAGACCAATGAACTCTCAAGCCTATATTTCTTCTTTTTTTAATGATCAATTCCAACCTCGAGCGGGTCACTTCCATGTCACCGTATATTCTCCATAATTTTAGTGTCATGTAGCGCTATAGTCGCAATTTTTATGTATTGTAAGCCGGCTTCCGGCAACGTTTTTATTTCATAAATAAAGTATTTTTATCGAACGTTATGAGAAACGGGTCACGTGTAATGATATGGGGTGCGAACCCGATCACTATGTAATATCGGACTATAAATCTAACCAATCTAGCCTATATAAAAAAGCGTAGCACTATATCAGGTGATAAGTGAGAAGAGTCTTCACGGTTAGGGAGGCGCAGTGATTAGGCGATTGTTGCACCTATGATGCAATGTGGCCGATCATACGGCAGGCTTGTGAAACAGTTGAATTTCTCACATATACCAGCCCTCAGAATTTTTTTCGCAAATAAAATTCTTTTAACTCTTGTCCTCACATACCACACTTTGAGCCAATAACATTTCGCAAAAAAATACTATATAAGCTGAAAACATGCCTATCACTTTACTATGTCTCGTCAAAGGAAATACAACCGCGAACGCCTTCCCTGTCCATATAGAAGGGAGTAGTCTTGTTGGTGACCTCAAGGACGCTATTAAGGCGAAAAAGGCACCAGAGTTCGATAATTTTCCTGCAGACAAGCTTAAGCTATGGAAGGTGTCGATCCCTGGCGATCAGGACGATCAATTAAGAAATCTAATACTCCAGGACAGTGACGAGCTGTTGGCAATAAGAAAGATTTCGAAATATTTCCCAGACTCACCTCCCGAAGAACATATCCATGTTATTGTAAAATTGCCACGTAAGTGTCTGGAATAGTCTATGCAAAGCGCCTTAATGGCTAATTTTTCGTCATTTACCCTCGCATAATTTTAACTCATTCGTTTCCAGTTCTCAGCTTGGAAGAGGCGTTATCGTGTATTCCACCACCCATAACATATTCTCCGGACTGTACTAAATCGAAGACCACTACAAAGGTTAATGGTGACCCGCCGACAAGTGTACAACTATGGGGCGACTTTTTCGATAAAGTGAATCAATTCCGCTTCGACCAACAACCGATATTCGAGAGGCCACAATTTAACCAAGATATAGAGATAGTCAATGAAGAGGATGTTCGCGTTGCTATATCTATCAACATTTGTTTGATGTTAAATAAGCTTATGGGATCAGATTATAATTTTTCAAAACGTCCACCTACTTCTCCTGGCATACCGGACTTCACCTGTCATCTCGTGGGTTCGTTGATCTTGGTGATTGAGGCAAAAAGAAAGCATGTTTTAGAAGACATGGGTGAACAGACATTTCCCGAGTTTTATAATACGAGTAAGGGCAAGGATGTAATTCAACAAATCTATAATTATATGTGAGTAAATGAACTTAGATACGGTATTCTTACCACTTATGATAATCACTGGTTTCTATGCCTAGAACACACGAAGCTCTTGATCTCAAAAACCCTTTCACTTTAATCTGAATCTCCACCTGTTCTCAAGGCATATGCTTATCTAACTCGACAGGCGAAAGAGAATCCCAACTCTCCTAAACCTCAAGTACTAGTGCCGGCTCAAGGGGATAATAATTCACGTACTCTTCGATCAAACTCAAAATCATCATCCAGCTCTTCATTAACTAATCAGGCTTCCAGCACCTCTGCGAATCAACAATCGTCATCCGCCTTTGGCGCTTCCAATGTAGACCAGGAAAAGTTTAGCTTTGCAGACTTCAAGTTTAAGAGCATACTAGGTGAAGGACGAAGTGGAAAAACGCTCCTATGCGAATTTCGTGGTGAAATGATTGCTTTGAAGAGTGTAGACCTATCGAAGGCTCCATCGTATGTTCTGGAAGAAATGCAGAAAGAAGTAGATATGTATAAAGATCTAGCTGATATTCAAGGCAAGTATATCCCAAAGCTGGTCTGTTATGGATATTATGGAGGAGGCATGAGCTTCGTTATCGGCTTAACCATTGTTGGCACTATGTTGAGCGACCAAAAAATAACGGAACAGCAAAAGTCAAGGGCTATTAAGGGATTAGAAGCAATCCACAAGCATGGTATCCTCCATAATGATATTCGGGAGGAAAATATCTTAATTAACGATGACGGTGACGTCTATCTGATTGACTTCGGTATGGCAAGTCGGGAGGACACAAAAAAGAAGAGAAAACTTTTCGAGGAGGAACAGCTCAAATACTCTAACTTGCTAGATAGATATAATACGTAAGAATTTATTATTATCAAATTCCTATATTACGATTTCTTGTAACTCTAGTTTCTTTTCATTAATAAATATGTACTTTATAACAGTCATTTCGTAAAGAACGCAGGGCGAATTTCCAAGTCACGTAAATGTCAGGTGGTTAATTAGACTGTAGGATTAGATATAGCATAGAACTATCATGTATCCTGGACAAGGTCCCGAACATTTGTATTTATTTATAATAATAAAAGAATTGAATTTTTGCAGGTATATATGATAAGTGAAAAAATATAGTCATGGAACTGCCATTCCAGGGCTATAAACAATTTATTTATATCATAATCACGCCTTGCACCGCGCCTTTATGGCTAAATTCGTGATAGAGCCAATATATGTTCTGGCCCTAAAACACTCGTCTTGGTAAATGCGTCATATAAAGAATTTGGCCTATACTTTGAAGGAACCAAATTTGGATGATGAAGGAATTTCATGAGTATATCATTCCTCCAAGCTTTCGTCTCTTCACGATCCCAAGTTATTCCTATTAATGTAGACAAGTTACTGTAATTCATTAACATCAGATTCTGGAACGAGGATCGTTTATTTTTTTCAAGGCTGAATAAACTCATTCCTCCTACAACAGCAGATTCTACACTAATAGGGAAGTTTTTATGAATATCCGATCTACTTGCTAAGATAGATAAGGGCAGAATTAAGGCTGGATAGTAGAAGTCGGCTAAGGGATCCAGCTCAAATTCACCGACATATATAGTCCCAATATCTTCTAAATAATCCGAAAGTCTATTAGTACATCTGTAACCTTCACGAATCAACTTCTGGAATAGCTTACCATTAGTTTTGACCCATCGTCCGGTTAGAATGTTGAGTACTGTTCTATGTATGTCTGATTCTTGCATATGGATTGTTGAAATTAGCATTTATGAAAGTGATAATAGATGATTAGTACTTATGAAAATGGTATGTTTAATTACTCATTTCCTCCCATATTCTTCTTTTTATAATATATATATGCTCTTTCCTTACCTTGTCCACATTGGACACAAAGCTGAACTCTTGATTTAGTGCCTCGTCCGCATCCTTTACATGGTTGTGGGATTATTACGCCCTTTCGTATTTTGAATGCGTGGGATGCACAATATTGATCCCGTGCTGATTTTTCGCAGAAATGGGTCTTTCCAACCAACAACCAATTACAAGACATTTCTTTCCTCTGTCCATCATTTTCATATTTAAAATTTATCGTCGCCTCGAAAGAGAGAGACAACGAATAAGTTGATCCCAGCCGAAGGTACTCAGGGTGAGGGATCGTGCCTACTTGTATGATGGTCGTAAACCCCTATTAATAATTTTTTTTTCTTGGCAAAAGAGATCGGCGTGAACAATTGTTCACGATCAGCCAAAATGGCCTACATATTTTTCCGATTTTGAATACTAGCATTATAGAGCATTAAAATATTATCATGTCATCCGAACTTGATTCATTGAGACAACGCATCATTGAGCTTGAGGCCGAGAATGCTGAGGTTAAGGCCAAATATATCAAGGTTATGGATGAGAATGCAGAGGTCAAGGCTGAGAATGCAAAGTTAAGGTGCGCTTTGGAAGAACATGAAGCTAGGTTCACGAGACTAGAGCAGAGAGATAAAGAAAAGACCAACCTTATTGCCAAAATGGATGATGATATCAAGGAAATCAAACAATTATCGGCCAATGCCAGCTCTGTCGAGAATCTCAATAAACTAGAAAAGATGGCAAAGCCATCAAATACATCTGATAGTACATTTAATTCTAATGCATGCAAACCTATTCGTACAGAAACTAAGTCATTGGAGGACAAAGAGACAGATGATTTCTTGGATGAGGAGTATAAGAGAAGGGTTAGCGATGAGATCAGGCAGAGGAAGCGGGAAAAAAAGCTTCAGGGCGAATTGATTGTCCAGGAATCATCCCCAGCAATTAACACCAGTTGTATAACAGACCTCTCTACGACTAGCACTGGACTTGTAACTCCCCCAGAACAGGTAGTCGAAGAATCGATTCCAAAGGAATCATCTGCAGAGTCAGCGATACCCTGTGAGTCTTTTGGAAACAAGAAGGACACTCCACCCCAAAAAATTCCTTATAATCAGAAAGTAGAACAAGATTTAATATGCGAATTACTTGAATTTATTAAATGCCATAATTCTACGTCCTTGCCGAATTCTATATCTAGCAAACATATTCCAGATATCCCAGTCAATGCTGACCTAACTCCAGGTTCTGTACTTCATTTAGCTCATTTATTCGACAAGGCTGAAAAGACCGGTCGGAAAGAAAAATTACGATGGTATTACTATAGTAAGGAATATGAAAAAAAGATTGTAACCCTTAGATCCGAAAATAATATTAGCGATCAAATGGCAAGAACGCAGATTTATGATGAAATGGAGCTGTATCTTCCCGGTAAAAAGAGAGAGTATTTGCGTAAGATGACACAAAAGGCTAAAAACATCTATACCTTGTTTAAAGGAATAGGAATAGATAAAATTGGAGTGGTTACATCTAGTGCTGATGCAATCTCTAGACTAACTGATGCACAAATCCAGAATATAATAAATCTTTATACTGATGAACTAACCAAATCTCAAAAATTGATCGGCGTGAACAATTGCTCACTCACACTTGGTCTGCCAGCTGAAGTACCAGCATTCTCTCAGCCAAATGCTCCATCGGAAATGATTTCATCAGACATTTTTCAAGCAAATGTACCATCTACATCCCAATCTAATCCAACTTATGACCGCGCCTATTTTCGCAACAAAGCATTGGACCAATATCCTAATTTATATAGAGAATTTAGTAGTGAAAAGTTCGATTATTATGGAATTACTGACGAGACTCCATGTCCATTATGTAAGTTAGATCATGATGATGAGGAAGGTATAGAAGGTAGATATGAAGCCAGATCCTATTTTATTAAATGTGAACAGCGCGAAATTGAGATAGTTGCATAGTCAGGCCATTTTGAGACTACATATGCTTTATTATTTATTTTTTTTACACATATCAACTAATACCTAATTAGATTGATTTGCAATTATAGAAAAAGGTAACATGACCAAGCCCGATAAAATATTAACTCCCGAATATTTGAATTGGCATGCCAAATTAGCTGGGTTACCAAGTATTTTGACAGATAAGATTCGTTCCAAATTATACAAAAGATATAAAAAAGAAACTGGAAATGAGCCATGGCAACTACCAGAAGTACATGAATCGGAAGTCATAAATTCGATGCCAGAAAACAAAGTATCCGATTTATCTTTTCCCTCTTCTGGTGAGCAATGTGAAGAAGAAGGGCCTATCACCTTTGAAGCCAGACCCGATCCAGAATTAATTATCAAATCCATCTTAGAGCACTTCCCATACTTGAAATTCCGAAATAGTTTTAGAGGGATTGATAATTATAATTTTGCATCACCTCAGCCGTGGAGCTCACCATGCCCTATTTGTGATGGAAAACATGGGAATTACGGATTACATGGCGAATGGTATGGAACAGAATATTGTCTTACTTGCTTCACTTCAAGCAATAAATTCAAATTCACGATCGTAGCATAGGCCAGTCATGTGAGATCAATCATCTGAAAAAATGCATAGTACGATATCTAGATATTTTTTCCAACACTGAAGTGTACATATCTTCTGAAGCCTTGCAAATAGGTAAGTAAAGATGCAACATTCACGATGTACTGCAGTATGAAAGAAAAAATACTGGAGAAGAAGCTTTTGGACAATACATTATACAGTTTACTTTCGGTTGTATTGGGTATTTGCAAGGAAGTAACAAGCTAATAGACAATTTTTTCATTTAGGATTTTGAGAATAATATTAGCATCACAGAAGGGGAAGCGGTATAATGCTTCAATTATTTATAAATAGCTAGTTTGAAGTAGCATCATCATGTAGCAGTCTTTGATCTGTACATCAGGAAATTTGTTTAGGCGTAATTTAGTGTAATATTTTGAAGGTGGTGTAAAATTTCGAAATATTACACTAAAAACGTAATATTACAAAAGTTTACGCTCTTAAATTTGAATAATTATAGTAATTTAAGAATATCTCGCTATCTACTGATCCAATCAAGACGATCTATAGCTCATTGGAATCAGCTCATCAAGACGAATCGAATGGTAGTAAAATCGTATCTTTACGTTCGATAGATGATTTTCTATTAATTTAAAACTTTACTGCATACTATAGAGCGTTCTATCAACTGTAGAAATGCGATTTTACTACCATTCGATCCGTCTTGATGAGCTGATTCCAATGAGCTATAGATCGTCTTGATTGGATCAGTAGATAGCGAGATATTCTTAAATTACTATAATTATTCAAATTTAAGAGCGTAAACTTTTGTAATATTACGTTTTTAGTGTAATATTTCGAAATTTTACACCACCTTCGAAATATTACACTAAATTACGCCTAAACAAATTTCCTGATGTATTATGTATTTTTTTTTGTATGATCAATAAAGCAAAGACGCAATTAATTTACAAAATCCAGATATACAATGGAGAGATTATGAGAAGCATGTATGCTAATATATTTTTTCGATCAAGTTTTATTGCAATGAAATCATTAATCTAGAACTTAATAAATGCACAGTACATATAGACATCACAATCGTCACATGTATCACGGGCTAAGACCCGTACCTTGTATTTATTTTTTCGAATATAATAAAAAATCCGGAATGTTCTAGCATAATTTAATGATTTGCACGGATTAAACCGATATCCCCTATGGTGATCTTCTTATAAACAGGATAGCCTTAAATTCTTTCAATATTAAATTAAGGACAATAACGTAATTTTCCCCAAAGGGATACTTCCAAATCGATCCTGAAAAAATATATAAAAAGGTGCTGACCCAGTTAGTGAATCCTTTTAACTGTCTTGTGCAAATATAAGCGAAAAAAATAAAGCAAACTAATAAACCATGATAAAACTTGCCTTTAATTTTCCTGATCAAACAAACTCTATTTTTCCGCAAAGTAATAATAAAGTAAGTGGCTTATTGTTCGATTAGCTTCTTGAAACGTGGCATCACGATATTAAGCGATTTTTTCCCTATCTAAAGATGTTTGAAGCGGACTCATTACCTTTCTTGTTATATATCAGCACTTTGATCTTCGCCGAGAAAATCATGATCGCCAGCACGTGTCTAATCAGCGCAGTAAAATTGTGGCTTATCTTAATACTCGTCACATGTCTTAAATCAAACTTCCGGCGCAGTAAAACGAATAATTTTTCCGGCAATCGGAATATAAGCAATTTCCTTCTGCATATCATACTTTCGATACAAAAATCATTAAGCATCAATTTTTTCAAATATAACGGTAAGGGTTGGTCCCAAAGGGTCCGTGAAATGATTTGGATTAGTATTTATCAAAAATTATACTTACCTCTATTTACCGCCTTAGATTCGAAATTAATTAATAACGGAAGTTTTCTCTTGTGGAACTATAACTTTCATATTGTCTATGTGGGTGGGAGAGAAATTTGTGATAAAAATAAGCGAAAATATTATATATGTTATTAGTGATAGGAATAAATTAGTTACAGATATTTTTTGTAAATGTGAGAGAGCAAAGAAATAACTTGATGCTGGGACTCGCATTAAATGGCCTAGGATCCGCGTACTCCCTCCCTCTTTGATAGCATCAGACATTTCACTTGCTAACTCATTTTTTTTTTTACATATCTGAAAAATTAATAAAATTCACCCGTATCGGATTGTTTTTCAACAATGCATAAATCAGCCGAGCCGTTAGGCAATAGAGCGCGTGATACACACTCTTGTCAACTGATCATGAACCAACAACTCTAAGGTTGATGGGGTAACAGCAGTTCTTCAGAATGATCAGTCAGTGCATCACCTTCTATGTGACAAGTCACGACAGGTGCCCTCAGTGAGAATAACCGCAGTTTTTGACCAACCCTGCCCTGACCTGACGTATAGGGTAAAGTAATCCTGCTTCTTTAAACAAAATACTATTAGTAAGCGGTCTGAAAAATTATTATTCTGTTACAGTAAAAGAACATTTAAATACTTACAAGACATCACAAGAAAACTTGCCCTGGATGTTGAAGGCGCTCACAGTATAACTCTTGACAACTAAGCGTGAGCCACAACTTCAAGAGCTGAGGGTTAACCAGCAGTTCCTCTGAACGCTCAGTAGTTAATACTGTCTTCTATGAGAGAATCTACTGCAAATAGGCCTTCTGACGAAGAATAACCGCAGTTTTTGCCCATCTGTGCCAGACCACATCTCACAGGACACGACTTGTTGAGTATAAGATCTATTTATTTATTTATCTCGGTCGAACGCCGACCCATGTTACATGATAAGCTATGCTAGAAAAACTCTACAGCTATCCCAATACTATCCCAATGTGGTGGCCCGACCAGAGATAGGTCGTTGAGTATAAGATCGGAACCGTTATAACTTATAAGGCCTGTTCATGTCCGAAATTTCGATATTTTCGCCCCTAAAAAAGATTGGGTCAAAAGGTCGGTCACGTAAACAAATGCAAGCAGATCCGGCCAATCAAACTAAACTTCAACCTATAGTTTTTGTCACGTCGTCACGTGCAAGTACATCGGTGATCAAACGCGAAAAATTATTATTCGAACAACCTACTTTTTACCCGTATATCTCAATGGATTCAAAGAAGGTTTCGATTTCTAAAAAAGAATACGATTTTTTTATTAATGAAGCAAGGCCGACACCAACGGAGTTTTTCAAAAAGTTCAATTGCACGTCGAAGAAAACGGCCGTGTCAATTTGGTACTCCGCTCTCAGGGAGGTCCTCAAAATTCGTGATGATCTCAAGCTTGTTAATATCGAGCAAAACTACAAAGATGGTAAATACAAACAAGCTATTGATGATTATTTTAAAACAAGCGTTCTTGAGAAGGAAAAGGTTTGTCAAATGTGTTTGTGGTGTATCGTGTCCAAGGTTTGTGTTCCCTAAATTCTTTCACAATTTACCAGACGTATGTTGATAAGACATTAACAAAAAAAACAAGTAAAGCAATCCGAAGTCGCATAGATGATCTCCTTCCGGAGGAAACTGGCTCGAAGAAACCTCGCCTCATGGAGTCGCAACAGAATGATGATAGTTCGATATTAATGTCAGCGGACCCGAAAATAAAACAAGAGTTTCCCGGTTCGTGTTCATCAACATCTGGTCCGTCTTCCAAACCTCATCTTGAAGAAGGTAATAAAATATTTAGTTTTTGCGACATTTCTGAGAGGAATCTAATTCGTATATTATAGATATCGAGTCCAAATATTACGATGCCGGAAAACGTCATAAAATTCTATATTCATGGAAAGATGCCATTGGTAATATTGATATTAGAGACGCTTCGAAAAAGGATGTGAGTACACGATGCGGTCAATGCTTCGTTGCATACCATATATTAACTAAAATGATTACGCGCTTTTTCAGTGGATTTTCGAAAACCACAATCTCTCCAACGATTTTCGAAATTTTCAACAAAAAACAATTAAACAAGTCAAGGAAAATTCGTATTTATGTTTTAAAAAAGATTTTCATAAAATTCTGTAAGTATTGCATTCCACCTGTATCATGGATTTCTGTAGATACTTCATATTTATTCATTATTCTCATTAAATAGATGCTTATCAAATATAATGCTGGTTGAACAAAAAAAACCATCGTATTTGACTTGTGATCAAGCGATTTGGAGCACAATTTGTCGAAGACAAACATCTCCGGTTCTGTCATTAGTAATTACGACTGTAATTTCAGAATATTCTTCGGTAAGATTTAATTCTCTTATTCACAGATTTAGTGTTGGATTGTAACACTACTAAGCAACTTCTTCATTCTAGTTGTTAAATTGTTTCGCATCACTAGACGAAATTGAAGATAGGTGGTGTGCAAATTTCGCAAAAGTTACAGAGTTAAATAACGAAGATAGGGCGAACTTTTGCAAATGTCAGATTATCTTACGAAACTTGTAAGTATCACATTGTAAAGTTTTCATAATTAATTTGATACTAATATCTTTACAGTTTTCTACTAGATTCTATTAATAAAAACAATGAAGACACTTTTGTCCACAGCACTTTACATGACTTAATCAATGAGATGTTTCGCGACCCATTATTGGAATTAGTATGGTATGTTTATAAGCATTTAGACATAATTTTTGTTTTACTATATATCCTTTAATGTTTGATTTAAAAGGGCGAATAGCGAGAGTACTGCATCGAAAAGGCAACGTTCCAACGACAAGGAAAACACAGTCAAAGGTAACAAACCCGACTTTAAGATTCTGAATAATGACAGAGATGAAATTCTCTTTGGGGAGGTAAAACCAAAGGACTCATCATCTATATTGGTGAAAAAAGATTTCATCAAACTCGGTGACTTCCAAGTGGCTACTTTGAACGAAATAATCAAGAAACACGGAAACAAGAATGGCTTGATTTCCTTCGGCATATGGGTTACTGGTAAGTGCGCAAATTTAGTTTGACTCTTTAATACATTAATTAATTAATACTTGATTGCACTTATAGGTGCGCGCATTCGTTTTTACGAAATGGATTTGAGCTATGACGGTATATATAGGATGGTATTAGTTTCTAATGTAGTTATCCCGACGGAACGGGCGCAGTTCTTAAACTTGATGACAGTTTTAGAAGCGTTTTTTAATATCAAAGTAAGTGGATAATAGTAATAGCTGTTTGCTACTCTTAATGAAAACCGTCACCAACTGTTTAAACTTTTCTTTTGTGATCTTAAGCGACGTATTTCTGAGGTTATAACGGTAATAGCTTCTAACACCCCGCCTAATTCCCCATCACGTTCTACCTATGGCAGGGTACCTACCTCTTCGCCAAAACCTGTAAAGGTTACAATTTCTGGTTTACAACCAAATTAATTCTGCCTTGATTCCCTTAGTACATTTATACAAAAAACCTGTTCATTCCAAATACTGTAACTGGATCAAAAATTGTAAACCAGTAAAATCATTTTTTTTTAGTAAAAACCTTTTCCTCTTTATTTTAATTCTTATAACATTTATTCTTTACTATGTTAAAGCTGGTTCTTTTATTTCTTTTATTTTACTATGAAAGAAAAAAAAATAGAGAAAGAGAAAAATCAGATACTAATTAGACCGGTTATCAAACACAAAAAAAATGTTTCCATCTATATAATGTCCAGTTTATTATAAGTTATAATCACCCAAACAATCAAATAAAAATGAATCTGATATTTTATTATAATATACTTGTTATAAATCACTATAAGTCTTTAAAACAGCTATAAATCACTAAATCGTGTGTAAAACTCTATAAATCGATAAATAGCTATAAATTTACTATATCCGCAAAATGGATAGAACTAATTACTATTCTGGTTTAAACCCTATAGTGGTGCAGGCGCTAAACAATCTGCAATATAGGTATAGTGGTGAAACACCAGAAATGTGGTGTTCTCGTGTTCGTTATCCTTTTAAGAAACTTCTTGAATATAACCCAAAATACTTCTCCAAGAATGGATTTATTCAAATGATTGAAAGAGTATATATAGAGGGGGAATTTAAAGCTGGGAGATGCTCATTACATATTTATTGCACTGTATGCGACTCCTTAGTAATTATTCGTGAAAATACCATCGAATGTGGCAA